ACCTTAGGAATACAACAGGGTGTTTTTACCGCGGTGGTGTCGACTGCTTCATCCACAATCCGTCCCGTCCGTACTGATATTTTAATTGTCATTCACAGCTGAAGTAATCAACAATTTTTGTAATGTTAAATTTGCATTTTTCTAACACAAAGTCGTCTCGCAAAAGATCCACAATGAGATAACACAGATAAATAACGACATCCTATGACTTGGAAGAGTCTTTAACTCCTACTTATTTCTACTGATTCTTAACTTTTGACGTTTGGGGAGTAATACGAATGCAATATAGTAAATTAACGAAGCAAATGTACTAATACAAAAGTTCGAGGGAATGTATTGGTTTAAAATTATGCAGTTTTAGAGCGCAAGTACTTACGTTAATTCGGGGGACAGGTATCCTAATCGTAGGCATGTCTGACGGTAGAGCTACGAAAATGTAAATAACAACCTAACCTAATAATAAGAAATACCTGTATATGTCGTGGCGTAGCAATGTATCAAGGTTAAAAAAAGCCTAGTAAGGTAAAATAACGGTTCGCCGCGACCCTACAGACGTCTTTCGCGTTTGGCGTGAAATTATTTTGACATGATTAATCTGACATTTCTAACGACATTCGAATTTTCTCCGAGAGGGCGGGTCTTAAAGCTTCAATCTTTACGGCTTGTGAAATGGTCGTCTGTCGTCGAGGAGGCCCCAAAAAAAGGCAAAATTAAATATGAAAACGCGAAAAAAACGTTACAAAAATGCCCCTGAACGACTAAGGACGAACTACTGAGCATCTGTGTCCAGTCGCACGCCGTTTCTAGGCTTGCGGAGAAGGAATTTTGTGGGGCAAAATTCACATTTTTCGGCCTTCCTAGAGAGTACATTTTAACGTATTTACAGCCCCATTTCGAATCCCGCATTTGATTTCGCGGAAAGTTCTATAGAAAAAGCGTGAAATAGGCACCCGGTCGATAAATATGAGTATTTTCGGCACAGTTTTAAATAAAATATCGTAGAAAATAGGGGAAATAAAAAATAAAAAAGCCGTACGCGCGCGCAATTCGAGGCGATCGGCGACCGTCAGATTTCAGCGGTAGAGCGTGTCGGACTCGTGCGTTTCACACAAAAGATAGGCCGCGCCCCTCGGAGAGCCTGGGGAAAACGGAAAATTCACCGGGAAGGCGTCGAGGAATAGCGTTCTAAATACGACGTTAAGACGCGGAAAAGACGTCGCGACGCGGGCCGCTGTAGAAATGTTTCCCATGTATGATGCAGTATGTATTTTGTTGAAAACGCCATTTTCCAGATAGAAAATTGAGGACAAAAAGGATTTTTAAAATTGCGAGAGACCTGTGCCTTATTCTCTCGATATGGAAAAAAGGAGAAGTCAAAAGACAACGTGTACGTTCGAAAGTTTCGAAATGAATGGTATTCGGAGTATAAGTAGTAGTGTGGAAGTGTTCATTTGAAGAAACTGTATGCCGTGTTTAATTATGGGTGTTGTAAAGTCGGGCGTGTGGAATAAGAAGGGATTTAACAATTTTGGGAACGTCACGCGAGGTTGTCGTAATCACAAAGCTTCTTTGAAACATACATGTACGGTGTGCGTTAATGTTCGAAGAAGTTCACAAGCCGAATTAATATTTCTATTTTTTATAAAATCTAAATGAAAATCCTTCTCACGAACGTCAATTTTTCGGTAATATTGCAAATGCTTCTAAAAATTTCCAGATTAATTTAAAGCCGATTGACCTTGAAAATTTGAAAATTTTCGCCAGCGGCGCTTTTTTTTCTTTTTAGTCAATCAATGAATATTTTTCACCTATTGTCAATGTTACGAGCCGCCACTAGGCTGTGTTCAGCGAATGGTCAGGCTAGTTCGGTCAAACTTCTTTAGTCAAACAATTCACTGAACGGGCTTGTATTAACTGTATTAAAAGCTGCCCAATATTCCCAATCAGCAGATTGGACTGACCAACGAAATATTTGTCCGCTGAACGACTTTGACCGGTGCGACCATTCGCTCAATACAGCCAGAAATAGGCCGACGTAAAATAACCAAATAGTTAATGTTAACTTTCTTTAAATAAATTAATAGTAAGTTGACACTACTGTATATCCAATTGTCCAATGATAATCACGTACGATTTGCTGACGAACCTTAGAGAAACCCCGTAGAAAAAAAGGAAAAAAAGAAATCGACAAAAAGCATGTAAAATCATACAAAAAAGGAGGGTAAAATGAAATTGACAAAAGACATCAATAAAATAAGAAACTATTCAAATAGACAAAATAAAATAGATGAACCGTGCAAAAGAAACGTAAAATGAAACGACAAAAATGTGTACTTTATAACCAAGCATAAAAAATGCGAGTTAATTTTGTATTTTTGTTGCGCAGGTAAAAAGTCGTATTAGTTTAATTTTAAAAAACACGTTTGCAATTTTTGCGCACAATGTAATTATTACTAAATATATAATTAATATGTCACTGTTTCCTTTTAGTTTTCGTATCATTAAGTATGATATAGAACCTTTCATCTCCAGCATCTTATATCTAAAATTAGAGGAATTATAACCGTTCCATCAAGACGTGGTGCAACGATTTTAACTCCTAACATATTTACATAACAATAAAAAAAATGTGTGGACTCTTCTACTTCTAACCCTATCTTTTCAAGGAAACCGGCGCTCGCTCGGCGCAGCGTTTTCAGCTCAACGGAACGGAAACGATTACATTTCTTTATGAATAAAAACTAACAATACGAACAATATTATTTTTAGCAAGTTTTTATCTTTTGATAAACATTTCATTGGCGCTGAGACGATTGTTACATATGCTGCATACGGCTTCCGTTTTTCGGATTTAGATAATGTAAATGTAATTTATTGCATTAGGATATAACTAGTTTGTACAGGGAAACATTCTATTTAATCTGCTATAAAAGGCTAAGATAATACTAAGTTTTTGCGAATGAGATCATTCAAATAATGAATCATATATCTTTGCAGCATTTTCTTTAAAAACAATCCAAGAAAATGATATCCTCATAGCCGCGATGTCCACACCACGCTCTTACCTTTTTTTACCTTCAAATATACATGATTTTAATTTGTCCGTTCCTTCTTGCTCCAACGCGTTATTCCCACAAATTTCAGGCAACACCGGAAGTTGTAATTAAAACTATCGATCTAGAAGGCATAGTTCACGAAGCGTCGGACCATCTGTTGCTCTTTTTTTGGCAAATTTAAATTTTCCAACATATGCTGACATAGTTTATTGTACATACAACCATATATTCTATACGAATAACAATTGTGTGAACATTTTATTAGATAAAAAGTCAAATTACATTTAGATAAAACGGTATTTTTGGGTGTTTTGCCACCTATGAAGAAAATTTAAAAATTATAATAGCCAACTTTGTTAATTTTTTTTTTGTTTTTTATATTTTTATATAGGGTATCATAATTAAGTATAAAAAAACTGAAGCTTCTCGCCAAAACAAAATAATTAGTCAAAACTTTTGTTCCAAAATGCCTCCTTACAATGATACAGGGTGTTTAAGTTCATTAAAAAAATGGTATTTTCGTAATATTTAAAGGCTTAACATATTGTTTTGAAATTTGGTATAGTCACTCAGGAACAAGCTAAATACTAAAAATCAGAAACTATTGTGAACCTTAAAAAAAATTGGAAATTTTCATTTTATTACAGGAAAGAACCTTCTATATTTTCAGCGAAATACTCCAGTACATTTGTTCATGCAACTCTCTTGGTTTCGACAATGCCTATGTATGTTTTCAGCCACGAAAATTGAATAATTTCAAATATTTCGTATTTTCACCACCAAGAACGGCAGTGACAGCATTTTTAACATTAAGGCGATGTTTCGCATTGTATTAGCTATGTCCTGTCCAAATTTTGTTCGTGCAACTCTCTTGGTTTCAACAATGTCTATGTATGTTCTCAGCCACGAAAATTGAATAATTTCAAATATTTACAAAATCGTTTAATCAAATAATACTTCTCTACTAAAATGATGTTTTAAAACAATATAGGCTGATAAAATCATTTATATTAAATTATTGGAAAATACATCAAGATGTAAAAAAAATAAAGTTTCCACAAATTACACTAATACATCAATAACATTTTGTCTGTGCAGTCCCCAGCCTACTTGAACTTTCGAAATACCAAGCTCACCCCCAGTCTTCAACCTGATGATGATGATTCTTCTGTTAGGGAATCTGCAGTGTTATTCTTTTATAGCTGTTATGACATTTCCATCACAAAAACCATACGATGTCAGCTACTTCTCTTGTAGTAAAACCATCAATTTTCAAAAAATGCACCCATGTAGATGGATTTTCAAACAATTATTTGGAACATTTAAAAATGAATGATTGTTAATGAAAGCAATTGCTTTTGTTTGACTATCAAAAAAGCATGGCAAAAATGATATACAATATACAGGGTGCCGAATTTTATGCAGGAAACTTCGAGGGCAGATAGATCTCTTTAAAATAATATGTGTTTGCCTTATAAACATTGGTCTGGAACAGCCTCGTTTTCACTATGGTGATTGCATGTCACTGATTTTTCTTATTCTGCCAGTTCCTCACACCAGGGTAGCATTGACAGTGACATTTACTCCACCAAATTTCAAAACAATCTATTTTCCGAAAATATTAAGGAAATACATTTTTTTATCGGAATTCTCATAAGGGGACATTTTGAAACAAATTATTTTGATTTGGCGAGAAGTTTCGATAACATTTTTTACTTCTAATTATGACTCCCCCTGTGTATTTTTGAGAACTTAAAACACAATTATGGTGTCTATTTAACAAATATTACTTTGATCTGTAAGTCGAAAACTCTTAGAGTTATTAGAAAATTAAGTATGCTACTGGATTCTACACGAACATATCTGTAAAATAAAGTGTCAACATTTCAGAAATCATAAACCAAAGTCCTTGTTCCATTTTAAGCAGCCATGAATTTATTTCAGGAGGATGAAAAAGTTATTGAACTCGTTAATAAATACGGTGCCAAGAAGTGGACCCTAATAGCCCGCCATTTAAAGGGAAGGATAGGAAAGCAGTGCCGGGAAAGATGGCACAATCACTTAAACCCCAAAATAAAGAAAAGTGCCTGGACAGAACACGAAGACGAAATTATTTATAAAGCCCATCAGGTTCTGGGTAACCAGTGGGCACGGATTGCGAAATTATTGCCAGGCAGGACAGACAATGCCATTAAAAATCATTGGAACTCTACGATGAGGAGAAAATACGAGGCGGAGAATCGAGAAAATGGCGATTCAAGAAGAGGGAGGCATAAAAAGATTGTGTCTAAGCAAACCGAAACTAATCTGTACTCTCAGTTCCATCATAATCAAGTTGGACATATCGATGCCAATGATTTACATTGCTTAAAGCAGGATAATGTTAATATCTATTCTGCAGAGGTGAGCATTCGAGTTATTCGTTTTCTATTCATTTGTTATTTTCAATTGGGATTTGTGTTTTAGGAATGGCAAGTAGACTTGTACGACCAAGCGAGCAGCCAGTCAAGCACTGGTGGCTTCTCGATGGGTGCCCCCACACCAAGTCCTACACCGCAGCAAACAATATTAAATTCCGTAGAAAGAGTAAACTCCTCACCTCCCCAGACTACTCAAAACAACAATGATCTTCCTTCATTTGATTACATTAATGTATATCGAAATCAGTCCTCTCCTGTGAAGTTAATACCAATGAATGATGACGCTATGTCTGATTTTGATGTAGGTTACTACAACTCACCAGGTGTTAGCCCTCTGAAAATGAACAATAGGCAGTTCATTAAAGCAAGTGAGTTAAATATAGCTATGATGTTTTTTATATATTTAATTATCGTTACTTTTTTAGGGGTAGTACCTCCAAGCTATTCCCAAAACACTCTTGTACCTGTAGCTAATGCTCTTAGCATGCCACGTGCCTCAACCCCCCCGATATTGAGGAGGGGCACCAAATCTCGCAAGCGGAGAGAAAGTACCGAACAACTTGCTCAAGAACTTGCCTTATCGGCTGGCCCTAGTGTTGCCAGAATAGAAGACATCGGTTACTTATTCGATGGTGCCAAGCCAACTATATTCAGCCCGTTGAAGAACGGCAGTTCTCCCATTAAACAGCTGCCGTTCAGTCCATCGCAATTTTTGAACAGCCCCAATATTGCTAACATTAGTTTTGATGTGACGTTATCTTCTACCCCAGTGAAGAAACAACAAATTTTGACGCCAGTTAAGGATAAATCAAAACCGGTAAGTGAAATAATTTTATTGAAATTAGGATAATTACTATGAATGCATCTAACTTGTTCTCCTTCATTGAATAACAAAAATACTCTTTGTTTCAAAATGGGAACCAAGTTCAAAATCGATTTTTGCTTGACGACAATTTCCGTTTTGACAATATTTTTGTTTTAATTGTAAATTCTTCCTCAGTTACAAAGTCCAACATGGACGTTTTTGTTGAAATATAATTTGATAAAGAGAATAGAGTTTTTCCCTGAAATTTGAAGATCTTTGTAGGTTGCTCTAGCTAAAATAATTAATGTATATTTGATTCAAACTGTAGGTAGTGCCATTTATTGGAAACAATTTGGTTTTTAAGTAATGTCTTTATCTCCGATAGTAATCAAGATATAATATGAATTAAAGTGCATTGTAGAAATTTAAAGCAATAGTAATAATAAAAGTCACCACTGACAATATGGGCAAATAATTTAGAAGCCATCAACCTAGCTTGTCTCTCTTTATCAAGAAAAGATTAAAGTCTGTCTTCAAGTATGAGTCATCAATGTGAAGACGCTATTAAAAGTAATGATTAATTTAATAATATATATAAGTTAATAACAAATATAATGTGACTCAAAAACAATTTTTTCAACAAAGACGGAAATGTCGTTTGATTTAAAAGTGTTTTGCATTTTTTTTCATCTTAATGTTGCAACTGAGGAATAAACCCATAATAAAGAAAATATCAACATCTGCTGTTGGAGAATCTTGGAAATTAAGACTCATTTCTTAAAGGTGCATTCATTTTTATGTGAAATGTATTATAATTTTAGTCCTACCAAAAGATAACAAAAAAGAAGTTCCTGACAAAATAAAAACAGTGATTTAAAAGTGAATAATTGTTTACCCATTGGTTTTTTCAGGATCATGATTACAGTCCCCTTAGTACTCCTCATGGCATTTCTGTTAAAAGTGAAGCCGTTACTTCATCGGCAGATATTATAACAACACCGAACAAGAGGGATTTCCTTAACAGTGATACACCAAGAACCCCTACTCCCTTCAAAAAAGCTCTGGCTGACCTTGAGAAAAAGTCTGGGCCAATTACGAATCTTCCAGATACACCTTCCTCGAGATTGGAAGACATTACAGAAATAATGAAAAAAGACCAAGATACCTCCAGTTACGAAACGGATACCAGCATGTTGGTAACCGTAAGTGTTTCTATTTGTGTTTTTTTTTAATTTTGTAACTAACAAAAAGAAATGTGGTTAAACCAAAGAATATAACTTCATGAATTGTAGCTGTATTGGTGGTATATAAGAAGGAAAATACACAACTCTAATTTCATTAATTGTCTTTGAAGTCTCATATAAAATATTGAAACACGGAATCTGTAAGTGTTATTTGCATAAAAATAACGAAAGGTTATCCCAGTCCAAATGAAGTGAATATAATTTGTTAAGACGGAACCTGAAAAGAACTTTAAATTGGTATGGATGGTGCGTATTACAATGAATTTCTTTTATTTGTAGAACGATAGTGGCTATATGACCGGAAAAAGAAAAGGTGGAGTGTTAGCTGCTGGAAAAGAAAACATTCTGCCAAACAAGAGGGTGCGTAAAGCCCTAGCTCCATCTTGGGCCTCGACTTCCTCGCAAATGAATTCATCAGAAATGTCATTTGCCATTGAAACTCCTGTAAGTAAATTCAAGTAGTTCTTGTGCAAACGACTTCTTAATATAATCACTGTGATTATTCCTTTTTAGTTTTTGTTCCTTTTTTGTAGTTTATGAAATTAAATCTTTTTGTAATTTGGGGTGATGTTTAACAAATGTCTTCTTTCGATTCTCCTTATGATGTGTTTTGTTACAGAGTAAATCTTTGGGCGAGGACACTTCGATCTTGTTCTCCACTCCTTCTTCGATTATGAAAGACTCCTTAGGAGTGACGGGATTAATGGATATCCCCCCACAGTCGGGGTCCTCCAAGGTACTTGGATGGTTTCATTTTGGAGATAATAATTTCCTATCTTAAAACCATCCCGATCCTCAACCAAACCAAAACGTACCTGTTTCCTTAAATATATTAACGATCAAAATATTGGGATTTGTTTTGCTTTCACGTCTAATTTATTACTTTATTTGGCTTTTGGATTTTTAAGTAGCCTCCTTATTGTGTATAGCTTTTCTTTAGAGCTAGATTGTTATTTGCGACATATCTTTTAAAACGTAGTAAACAATTAACAAACTTCTGAATGTAATGCCTGAAATTTGTTGGTAGATACAGAATGCAAAGGATAGTACGTATTATTTTTATTTGCACAAAAAAGGTTCAGACAGGACTGGTAATTTGTATTCCTATTTTGTGCTGATCTAACTATTTGCATCTCTGTTGCAGCACTACAGGCATGATTCACCTTAATATATTAATAGGTGCAACTGACAAAGTTCTAATATGTGATGTTTTTAAAGCAGCTAGTGATTTATTTTCTAATAACTTAACAGTACCACACTGTTACCGATTTGTTTTAAAGCTTATGATCTTAAATATTTTTACATTATCTGAACCTTATTTTGTTTGGCTCTTCATGCAGCATATAATTATTTGCATAATTATGCTATTTCGGTATCTATCGGTGTATGACCTCGTATTCGTACCATAATGCATGTAAAATCACATTACATGTACAGTATGCTTTATTTTTTGTCAACCATTTTTATTGTGGACACAAACAAAGGATTGTTTTGACCTCCAGAATTTCTCTTTTTGAAAAACAGCAATCAGAAAAAACTGTAGTAACTTCCAAAAAATATAAAATTGGTTAAATTCATTAATATTTAAAAAAATAAAACATTCTTTCTGCGCTATTGTTTATCAAAGGTTGTAGTCAAGGTTCTAAATTTTATTGATACGTGTTCATGTCCACAAACATTGAAGATAAATAGATGACAAAAATCTTAAAGCGTCTGTACATAGATTTATATATATATATTTCTAGTCTCTAACTTCAAGTTAAATGTTTCATAAACCAAAGTATCCAGTAACCTTCTCTATCCTTTCCTCTCTTCAGCTTTTCCATCGCACAAAAAACGCAAGTATAATTTTATGTGCTCCATTTTTAATATAAACGCATTATTTATGTTTATTTTATTTAATAATTGCAAGAACGTTATATTAATATTATATATTTTTTTTGTTATTTGTGTTGTTGACAGAGTTCTAATATCGAGACGTTCTATTATTTCTTACCAGGGCAGGTTACTCTAAAGTTATTAAACATAGTTAAAACTATTTAGCTAAGTCATATTTATTTAATCTTACTGACAAAGTCATTATTCCGAGTCTCGGGATTCATTAAAATGAAATTAATTATTTATTAAAACAGCAACTTTAGTATAGTTTGTCCTGAAATTCTTAAAAGAAGTTAATGGAATGTTGAAAGCGCAGTGTTGCGTAAACCAAAAATTTAGCACTTGCTATCTGTTGTTATTTATATTATTTTATTGTAGATATGCACTTTTTAATTTATTCTTAAGTACGTAGTATTTTTCGTTGCACTTTGATAAAATGACTTATGTTCTTGCACTAGATTAAGATAAAATGGTGCCCTTTTTCTTTTTACCATAATTGACAGAGAACAAATTTCAAACCATGTAATTAAATTTAATTGTAAGTGCACCTCTTATTTAAAAGATAATAAATATTATTTCAAGTCTGTTAAACCAGATCAATCATGAATAATAATTTAGATTTTACATTTTTAACAGTTTTTAGATTTATATTGTTTTCTATCAATTATTATGGGACTTAAGTTAGGCTTGGGTTTAGTTGTTGTGTGTGGCCATTTGTGTGGTGGTATTGTAGCATAATGTCCTTGTCCTGGCAGCGCCTGCTCCCCGTCAGTGCCTCAAATCGAGCCTCCCAAGGTCCACGCAGCACCGCGGCCAAGCGGATAACATTTGAGGATCCGAGGCCAAAAGCTCCTAAGGTGAGCCGTTGACTTGCCTTGCATTTATATAAATCTTTTTCTTCATTTTTACAAATTTTAGGTAACGTGCGCTATTTTTGTTGTAAAACTGTCTCCAATGTATAATTTAATGATTGCATTTGGAAATTGCAATAGGTGAAACTTTATTTCTTTAATAACTATTCCAATATAAAAATAATATTCTTTGGATAATACGAATTTATTTATACATTACTCTGGGTATTGCAATATTCGGGTAAACACCTTTATTACAATTTTTTTATTTATCATTTCAATCTTATCAAAGCATTTAAATGCAGTTGTAATACTCAAATGTAATGGAGCATGCTAAAAAAAAAATAAAACTGATTTGTTCTGTATCTTTGGTTTAACCACCTGGTAGACAGAAAATAAAGGTATGCACTAACATCTCTTCTATGCTTTCCACTTAAAGACTGAAAAAAAATTATTAACTAAAAATAAAGTTGTTCTCGCATATTGTATTATTATAGAATGTACATAATATGTAACCAATTTTTTTTATAACAATGGTATGGAAACTACCCAATATTTTTGTATGATAATTCTGTTTATCACATTTTTTTGTCATTAATTAAATGTCAGTGTATAAAAATATGAGTTAAATGATATTCAGCGCACTTCTTAGAGCCCTTTCACATTATCCGGTTTTTTAACAGACCGGTGAAATTACCGGATACTGTAGAAACAAACTTAATTGTATTTGAACATTTACACTTATCGACGTCCGTAAAAAAATCGGTGCGGTACCGGTGCACCAACGGATGAGTTTCTACTTGTCCGTCATCGGACCGACAAAACCAACGGATTGTTTATTAAAAACACATGAAGGCTAATGGACTTGTTCTGATAGGAAATTTATATGCAATTTGCTACAATTGTTCAGTTCAGTGTTGTTCCTGTCAGTACAAATGTACTGAAATCGCCGAATTGCGTCCCTCATAAGCGTATTTTGTTGAGCTATGTATGACTTCATTTGTTGCAATAAATCCTCGAATGTTGAAATTGTCATCCGGAAGTAATTGAAAAATTTTTATCCATCGGCCAATAAACAAGGATATAAGGTATTGAAAGCACCTACTTCATTCCTTTGCAAATTTATTGGATACATCCAAAATCTTTTGTGGCGACACTTCTTGAGCCTTTGTCGATGGTAAATCAAATACATGATTATTAATTTCTTGTGTAGTGTAGTCGACGACTGCTCACTACAACTGTTGAACTAGATCTAAACAAATTTACTGCAAACGTATGAATGGTTATACGTTGCGCGACCAGTAATTTTACCTGTCCGGCAGTTTACCGGTCCGTTAAAAAAACAGGATAATGTGAAAGAGCTCTTATACAGGATCTTTCTAAAATTTTATACCAAACCAAAATAAAACTTAGAAAATGGTACTTTAAGCAAAAGGTTTGGTCCAGAAATGCTTAATAAAAAAGTTATAAAGTGATAAAGATGCATCACCAAAAACAATTTATTAAAATAGTCTCAAAATCCAAATAAAGTTAGTTACAATAACAAATCATTTTTTCCTCACTAACGATATCAAAATGCCTGGGTTTTTATCTAAAATAGAAAACTTTTGAGTAATATTCGATCAAATATTATTCTGGATAGAGGGACTTTGTAGACGAGATAGATAAGTCTGCACTATCCTCGAGAAAATTGGTAATAAATATTTTTTTAATTTCTAGCTTAAATGATTTTAAAAATGAAAATTACCATGGATACTGTTAGACCTATGGAAACTAATGAAAAAAATTTTACTGATTTGGTATTTCCATTTGGATCAGATATTGTGGAGTTGTGTTTTTGGTGATGCACCTGTACTCGTTAATTTTTTTATTAAACTTTTTCAGACTTATTCACAGTAAAGTTTTTATTTAAAATAACATTTCTTATTTTCGATTTCAATTTAGTACTAAATTTTGGAAACTAGTTTGGACCAATTCAGAAATATCAACTAAATTTTTTGATATTCGTTCTAGACAGATAAAACTATTTTAACCACTCTTAAATTTTGCTTATTTCCATTTACTTATTATAGTACTATGGCATGTTAACATAATCTACAAGAAATAGGAAAAACCATTACCATGGGACATGACGGGTCAAATATATTTTTTTATATTAAAAAATGGGGAAGGGAAATTCAACACATGGTAATTCCAATTATCTCAATTAGTTTATATGTTGTGTTTCATTAAGAATCAAAATTTTTTTTATTTTAAATGACTTCCTTGTTTCAGCTGGACTATTTGTGGGCGATGGTAGCTTGTGGCCGCACTCAAGACCAGTTAGACCTAACTGAAAAAGCGCGCCATTTCCTCAAAACAACTGGTTTAAAACCGCGTTCTCTTAATTTTTAGAGTGCCACTGTACATAGTTTTAAGTCTCTACGTTCGTTTCTAGAATGTGGCTAATTTACAAAAACTTAGTGCAAAGCTAGTTTGTTTTTATAAAAATATATAGATATAATGTAGGATTTGTTATTGAACATTCTTTTGGGTTTTATTTGTAAAAGAGTGACTAGTATTATGAATGGAACCCCTTTTTTGCACATGTATAGAACTAGTCTTATTGTAATTTTAATATCTTAGTAAGATAAGCTGTATTATATATTTTGAATATAAATTGTTAATAGAACATTATGCATAATTATCAGAGCTATATATTATTTTGAAATATATTTTTTTATATAATATAAAATATTGTCTATATAGCTCATGATAAAGTCGTTTCATAAAAGTTGAATAAAAAAAATGTAATTTTTTCTTTAATTGTAACATTAACATATTTCAGGTATTTTTGTTCATAACTTTGGCTTATAAAGCATCATTATAGTACAATTTTTGTATTAAAATTATAAAAGTTGTAATTTCAGGAATTTTATTTATTTCTTTGCCAATGTGAAGTAGGAATACAAATAAAATATGCTATATATGTGTGAGCTTTATTTAATCAACAAAAAGGTTATTAAGAAAATCAGTAAATATTAGTGCTGGCAATTGAAATCGTTGTTTTTGGATAGTCGGTTAACCGGTTTCGGCTAATTCGGTTTTTATAAAACCTTAAAAGCGGTTATTCGGTTATTCAAATATTCGGTTTTAACCACTATTCGGCTAACCCGTTTTATCTGAAATCGGTTTTTACGAAACCTGATTAGCCGGTTTTTGTCAGCATTAATAAATTTGCCATTAGGTGTGCAGTTCGATTCTTTTTTAATCTTTTGCACCTCTTTTGATTTTTATTTGCTTATCTTTCTTTTTTTATGTTTGTTTATTATTTTTTCCAGGTAGGAATCAGGAAGTGGAGTGGTCGGTTTGAAATTAAAAAATCTTATATATGTTAAAAGCCAAAAGCGTTGCGAGTATGAATTTTTTTTATGAGAGCTGAGAGCGTCAGTGATGATGCGCGTAGACTGGCTAGATGCGGAACTCGAGCTAGTGCGGAATGACTAGTATCGAGGTTTGATGCCACAGTCAACGCGGTTGGCGAGGCATATTGACAGTGTATGGTCTTTCATATTGGTTACATTTTTGTAAATATGTATATGTAAAACTAACTTTTTCAACATGTGCTTGTTGGATCCTTGACATGACTTATAAGTATGGGGTTCATTTATCTCGATCTAATGCTATTGAAGTCTATAGACCATCATTTTTAGGTTGAATCATTTACTGACGGTCGTTATACATCTGTACACATTACTTTGAGAGTCCGAGAATCGACGGTTACTTAGGCCCATAGCCAATATCACACACTTCCCCCTCTATATCTGAAACTATCCATATGATCACTTTGGGTCCCTGACAACTTTTGATCAGAATGTCGAGAACTATAACATATCACAATTCCAGCCAAATCTAGCGGGACCCAATTTCCATTCTTTTTGTGCGAGGTCCTTTGGTCGATTAAAATATTGTCATTTTCTTCTAAATTAAAAATTGACTGGTATATTTATGTTGTATTTATTAGACAACTAAAAATTATTAAGAACTTTTTTTAATCACAATGTTGGTGTCCATTTTTAAGCAGTCGTTACATACAATCAAATTTGATTATCACTGCAGGGATCACAGCAACTATTAAATATATAGTGAAAGACTTATGTATGTTTTTAAATCCATTTTATAAAAAATTTTATTCAATATATTCTTTCTAATAAATATTTTTAAAATCATAAAAAATGTGTATGTAGATATATAGAGTATTAGAAATTTTACGAGTCATCCATTTGTTCAGTTGATTGTTATTTGATAATCATTGAGAACTAAAGGTGTTCAAATTGTTCCGATTCATTCGATATGCTATAGTATATTATGTTACAATGACAGACGGCAGAAAGCATTAGTAGCCCACGGATATTTGCTGCTCGAGAGAGCGTAGCAAAGTGATGCCAACTGATAGCTAAGGGATACTAATGGGTTTTCTGCGTGTATGACACACATCTGTTTTTCGTCTAGCATTACACAAAACTAAAAATAGAATTTTGGTTTAAATTGTAATTTAATGAAAAATTATATAAAACGTCAAAGTATGCAAATGACAAGCAAAGGTGTCCAGATTGTGAAAAACTACAAAATCATGTTATAATAGTCCAGTCGATATCTGTTTTAAAAGTAGGTTGTATGGATGTTTCATATAGTAACGCTAATTTTTGTTGGAAATAGTTCTAAATATTATATAGAATGATAATTGCTATATGCGCCCACTGAAAAAGTTGTGCATAATTGTTAGCGCAAGAAAATGTGAAAAAAAAATGTAAAAAAAGCGCATTTTTCTCTTTTCTTTCATGTATAACATTAGAGAAAATAGTCAAAGGAAAAAAGTTTCATTTCGAGATTCTCTTCAAAATAAAAGTAGACCCGAAATTTTTATGTGCATTATTGTTGCTGCAATACAGTATAGACCGAACAAAAATTTGTGAAAAAAGATCGTTCTTTCATAAATTTATTTCGGACCTTGGCTTGACCTTGAGCAGCTATGTAAAAAGTATGGTTCTGAGTACTTCATGATAAGGTAGTATTGCAGAAATTTTTCCATCGAAATCGGTTGGGTAGATTCTGCACAATTGAATTAATTAAGAAAATGCAGAATTATACTTATTTTTCAATTCTCTCTCAAGGTAAAATCAATGATTATTTTGAGCTCCCAATTTTTATACATACCCTTTGGAGTCTCAACTATCAATCCCCATTTAAAAATTTTCGATTTTATCCATTTTAGCAACAATTAGAATTTTTTCAAAATTTCTTCAAAAAAGTACTTAAACATTTAGAGCTGAAGCTACCACATTTGCATATTCTTCAGATGTAATTATAGGATCAAATAGAGGAAGTATTAACGTACAAAATCCACATTTGATCTTTTGGATATGATAAATCGTCATAAAGATATGAAAGCTCAAAATTGAAGTGAGTTTACGGCAAAACAACAATATTGTACAATAACAATCAAAAGTGATTTTGATTGTTTGACGCAAAAACTTTATATCTATGAAAATTTGTATAAATTGGAAATGTATTTTAACTGTTCTGATGCAAAAAAAATGGATACATTTCACAGGAATTGAGCAGAGAATCAGAGTGAAGAGTGGGGCGGCTATGCGAGCGGAGAAGCATAATTCACTAGCGCAACTTTAATCGACTTTTTCTCAGCTTCTACAACAGATAGATTTTTTTTTTTAATCAATGATGGAAAGCGAGATCTATTTGAATATTTTAAATGGAAAATATTACTTTCGATCATATGTTTTGGGTTAATATGATTCATTTTCATATATGATAGGCGAAAAAAATCAGTAATTGATTGAAATTCATTTGAATATTTCCTGCACTTAAGAATTCACATCTCACATCATATTTGCTAGGTGGCCCAACAACTATTGAGAACTAAAAGTTTTCCAGAACACCGAGTACATTTAAGAATCGGTTTTTCATTGAAGTTCTCCTAACACTAATGTTTAGTAACATTAACAACTTATGTGGAATTTAATATTTACCATTCTATCAAAAAAAAATATGTTGATAAATATCAAATGCGGTACTACTTTGCCTATTTAAGTTTTTCTGTATATCTAACAGTTTCCAAAATCCCTGTTGTACAGCTTTAATTAAATGTATAACTCAGTAAGCACTAAAATAACAGAAATGATAAAATTAAGTAGCAGCAAATTAATTTTTTAGAGATTTCACACTCAGTGACAGCACTTTGTAAATAAGGACCAATTACAAATGGAAATGTTTTATCTTAATAATAAATTTCTCAATAGGTGAAGAGGTCACATTGTTGCAATTAATTTAGTTACATATCCCACTACAGAAACTAAAATACCATTCCTGGCAGCAGCTAAAAGGAAAACATCACTTATAGAGTCCTACTGAATTACAAAGGCAGAAGATTAACTAATCTACAGGCTGTAGAGTTCTAGAGTTACTAATTTCTACTGCATCCAGAGAAAATAAGATTGAATCAGTTTTATATGCAGTGTGACTGATTTTCACATTTTTGCACTGCCCTGCTCCTGCTACATGCAGTGAAGGGTACAAAATTGAAATATATACAACAGAATAACAATGTTTTATTGAATTTAAAAAAATTATATTTTTATGTAATAGGTACACATTTAAAACAAACAAAATTTTTAGGACTTATCAAAAATGCATAATTAAGTCAATTATTTTAATATATCAGCTAAAATCTTTGCACTCTTATTAGATTTATTAAATGAATTCTTCCAATCTTCCTTGTTTCGTTTATAAAGCAATAGATTGACTTTATTTGCTATTATTTTACCATGTTCGGAATTTGACCAAGAAGCATTTTTGTGAGATAGCTCATCCATTATTTGTAGTTTTGTCTTTAAATTTGCAATACTCCAAATGGCTTCAAAAGATCTTGAACCATATTTGGATGTCGCTAACTCTTGGTATGTCCCCATCATTTTTCTTACAAGTTTTTCTCTACTTTTTTCTCCCACAAATAATCCTTTTACAAATGAATCAGTAATATGACTTCCCATACTATTACAAAATAGATTTTTTAGATCCTGTTGTTCCATGTCTAGTATGCTGTTGACTATTTTTATGGGTTTATTAAAATCTAGTAATGATTCTAAGATTAACGTTCCATGAAGGCTTAACTTGTCTTTTTGCAAATTGTCGCTTGATATTTCTTTGACATTCTCAAATTTATTAAATCTACACATGCATATGACAAAGCATTTTTGTCTATCTTCTGGTTCAAAGCAATCAAAACTTTTCATTAAGTTTTGCACAAAACTTCCTTGTTTAGCAGTTAATCTTTTACAAGTTTGAGCTAATGCTAATATAACTCCAGAGTGGCCAGTTTCAATTATTTGTTGAAAATCATTTGCTAGTTCATCGAACATAGCCTCAAACTCAACCTTCTCTTTACAATGTTGTAATAATTTTTGTACTGAAAAATTTGTGCTTCTTGTCGTGGCTAATTTTACAAGTCTTCCAGCAAAACACGATGCATATATTTGAGTATATAGTTTTGGGGTTGAAATTTCTACTGATGTTTCTAATAACATTATAACTGATTTAGATAAAAATGCTTTTGGCAAGACTTTTTTGTCATAATCTTCCATATTTGTAGTAAACACTTCATTCAAAAGTTTCTTCAGATATTTTTTTAGCAACTTTAAATCAACATTAGTTAGACATTTTAACAGAATTTGCAAAAAACCGGATGTTAGTTCTGAATTACATAATTCATTAAACTGTGGCCAAAGAATCAGTCTTGTACCGTATTCTTTAACAATTTCCAGAAATTCTTCAGGGATAAATTGTTTCTCTTCAACTTTTATACCGACACCTTTAGTTATATTTTCTTGAGATAAGCCAAGCAGACTTAATAAACAAACTCTAATTACATGATTTGCATATGTATCCCACATATAGTCTTCTAAATTATTCAATAAGAACTTGGTTATCTTAATTACAGAATCTTTGAAGTACTGATTGGGTACTTCTAAATCATTATTGGCTTCTAAAGATTTTTTGCACGACTGTATAATTAATGCCTCTAACACATGACTGGCAAAACGGTCACTACAAAGTTTTCTCAAGTCAGAAGTAAATGTATCTATGAATTTCTTTAGAATATTTCTATTAGCAAAAGGAAGTAACATTTCAATTACACGGCAACCAACTTGGTTACAGCTGCAATCAAGTTCCTTGTTTTCAGTTTGTTCAAAAACGTTATTAATAAACATTATTTGGTCTTCCTCATTTTCAAAACCCTGCCTATAAGCTTCCATAATTCTTACGAAGTATTGGTATGTGTCAGCATCTAGTTCTGAACCTCTCCCATAAAAGCCTTTTTTTGCATATTTTCTAGCATTTTTCAGAAACGACTTTTTCCTTTTACGATTAGGTCTTCTATTTGTCAAGTCACCTGACATCTTTAGGTTATAATGATTATGGATTTACCTACAATAAATTTAAAACAGTTTAAAGTAAAGATTTTTTTACTCGAATATTAATACTTACCGTTTTTGAAAAAAAAAAATCAGCAAGACGGTTTTTCTTATCTTTTATAAATATAAAAACACATGGAACATACGTCACGTTGAATGTAAACAGCGCAGCAAAAATCTAACCTAATTTCTAAATATCTTCTTCTTCGTCTTTATGGCCTCAACCTTTGGGGGAATTCGTCAATTTTTTTCCTCCAAACATGGGGAATGCCATAAAAAATAAACTATTGAGTGCCCTAACATTTCAGTTCTATGGGTCATAGGTCATAAATAAATAAATTTAATGTTGGCTAGTCTGATGCAGATGTTTTATATCACACTTCATTCTTTTTGTAGTGTCTGTGTTGTGAAGTGGATTTTTCCAGTAACATTTATTCATAAAAATTCACATTTTTCAAAATTGAAGAAGGAAAATTGTTTATAATTAGATCACTCTAAGCTCGATTTCAGCTAAAACGCATTCGACCAATAATGAATAATCCAATATTATAATATTTCCATGGTAGTTGCACCAGACCAGCAAGGTCAATCAGTTTGACAGAATCAACCCAAAGATCGACATGATTTTCCTTATCCTAGTATATCGTCCATTATATTTTTATTATTCGATTGTTGTTAACGTATTGCAATAAAATGGCTGAGAGTAGAGTGATCGTGAACAGACCAAATTCTTCAAGTCCACCTCCAAATTGTGCTATTTGTTTGGGATCGTGTACAAATAAATGTTTTTCTGATTCATGTATGCACCAGTTTTGCTTCAAATGTCTTCTGGAATGGTCCAAAGTAAGTAATTTCTAACGAATACTGGGTCTGTTAACTATTGCATTGTATTTGTTCAGATTAAGGCAGAATGTCCATTGTGTAAGCAGCCATTCAGGAGGATAATACATAATGTTAAAAGCAATGATGAGTATGATGAACATGTTGTTGAAATTGCACCTCCAGAAGAAATTCATATTATTGACAATGAGGAGTTCTTGGTGTTACCACTTGGACTTGGCCAAGCTCATGCAAGGCATCAGTTCCATTTTAGGTGAGGATGAGACTACAATTTTTTATCAGAAAAATATTTTATCTTTTTATTCAGTCATCAGTACATATGTATATACAGATTTGCATATAAAATTAAAATATATTGCTTTTTAATTTGCATATTGATTATATAAATAAAATCAATAGATTAGTATATATTTTTTACATGTACTTGATGGATACAAGACAAAGTTAATGCAAATATGTAAATAGTGAAGTATATTAGATAAATACAATAGCAATTACAACTCTACACATCAATCATTTGTTATAAATTTAACAAGTTTTTTAAGTATTTAATAAATATTACTTTAATTTGGAAAATCGGCCAAGTCGCATTTGTCAAATATTTTGAAAACCAGTAATTTAAGCTGATTTTATTCAATAACAGATTTGCAGTGTATTGTTGTATTAATATTGTCTAATTTTGAGATTATTTGAAAATAATAGGATTTTTTGTATATTTTTATAGATTAGTATAAATTAACATAAAACTCTGACCCTGTCCTGTCTCAATAACACAAAGATATTTTCTGATTTCCTAGAAAACATTTGATAGAATTCTTTGAGATATCATTACACTTTAACCAACTAAACTGCTCTGCTATTGAAGATCTCAAGAGATTTTGTCACTATGGCAGTGACAATATATGCAACCACCACAATCAGAATTGTACTGAGAAAATTTTAGTTTTGTTTAAACAAGTATTAAAATTTAAAACATTTTGCAGCATATTTAAAGCTATTGGTTCTTTATGTATATTCTCTGTATCTAATAATAAATTATATTTGTCTATTGGTTAATCAGTATTGACTACTAATGTTCTTACTGAGATGCCATAGGTTTCTCGAGTATATATATTTTGGTTAATATGTCCTTTATATTTAACTAATTATACTGTGGTACTCTGCAAACTAAAGCCCTGTCCAGCATTAAATTACACCCTCAATATCTAGTAAACACCTAAGAAACCACTCTATTACTAGTTATTCTATTGACGAATAATTCATTGCGGACAGGCCTCTAGTCTACAGGGTAGTTGTGTCCTACAATATTGTTTAGTTTTTCACTTATTACAACTAATCTTACTGTCATAGTACCAGTAGGTAAGTAGGTTCTGTGTGTTGCTCTCTGTCAAAAGCAATGTTTTATGCTCTATTGATTGAGTAACAGTGACAATTAAGGTTTAACACTCTGTCCTTTGTACTCACCATAATATATTTACAATCTCATGTCCTATCAGCCCTACATTCGTAGCTGGTTGATACATAGTGTGGTTCTCATGTAGAATTTTAAGTAAATACTTTCGAAACAAATTATTGGTGGTACCATCCTTCATTGAAGAACTCGTATATTTGTTCGCAGATTTATAATATTTTCTGGAGATTTATTTGATTTTCTGAACCGAGATTAGGGATTTTATTTGCTACAGACTAAACGTGCACATTTCAAGTATTGTGACTTATAAAACAGTATTATATTAAGAATATGTGCAGCATAAACCATAGTTCTCTATTAACAGATTTCAGTTATCATTTTTATTCTCAGTTGTCAATTTTTTCTGAACATATCTGTCTCATAGGTACATTTAATTAATTGCAAACCATTTTGCAGGACAACATTTACTGTTGATACTCGGGGGGAACATGCTATTCAACAGATGTTGCTGACGCATCCTCTAACAAATGGAGGTCAAATTTCTATTGAGGGATACGCTCCCGGAAGGTAAATATATAAATTTAATAGAAAATAATACTAACATTGTAGTAAATAAATTAGCGGGCACAATATTTCTTGATAAGAATGTTGTGGTTCACTTATCAACTAAGTATTAATCATTATTAAAGACCACAAACCAAAAGAATTTGTGGTAATTTACCACGTAACTCTAAAAGGTTTTGACAATTGTCTAATTCGGGGGTGCTCAGTCATTTACTAAGGGCCAGTTATACTATACTGTTGAACAAAGGTTCAGTGCTGATCTTAATTTTAAAAGTATGTTTATGTTGTATTATTGAAGTTCCATTCTTGAACTGCCATTTATGAGAAATCAAGGATGTCGGTCAAAATGCATACCTATAAATTTACTTCTATTTTAAGGGTGTATTCATGTAGCAAATTTGTATTTAAGCTTTTGCTTTATCTTTAAAAAGTTAAAAGACTATAAGTTCTAAGAACCTTAGTTTCTCTCGGAGGTTTATTTAAAAAAATTGGTTAATTTTTATTTCTATAAAGTTACTGGATATGTGAATGCGCGTGATTGTCATGTTGCCATAATAATAATAAAATAATTACTATGTACATTTGGAAAAACTGGCTATTAGTCATTTGAATCGAGTAAATATATTTTATAAGGTTCTGTATGAACGATAACTTTATTTTCTTAAAGGAATCCACACACACCTTATGGAAATTGGTCTTTTTTGAAACTTCCTGAAAAATTGATATTTTGATATTCTGTATGTTATTATAATTGTCGTACACATGGCATAATGTAGGTACATATTTTTTATTACAGTTCTAAGAAATTTTTAAAATGTTTAAAACAATTATTCTACTACTAAAATGAGGTTAGGATACAGAGAAAAACGTCATGTTGCTCTTCCGTTTTGGAATATCAGTAATACCAACAATTGATTACTGTCAGATTAACTGAACAAGTACATTAAAACGATGGTACAACTGGACCTCAGATCCCCTTAACAAAATTATGACAGCGGATAATGACTAAAGTTCTCCTAATCTAACGGAAATCAAATACACACTTCTTGATTGTTCCATTTTTGATGCTGAGGGTATGTTGGGAGAAATAATTATATAAAATATTGTTTTAATTATTTTTGTTTGAGACATTTTATAGTACTTTTTTTCTAATCTAACTGGGTATTTTTGTAACTTGATATTAGAACAACTGTTCAAAATTTTATGCACCAACACTTGAAAAACTAATGTAAACACTATCGCAAAATATACTAAAATCAGATTTCAGTATTCGGAATCGCCTGGGGCCACGTCGTGGAGAGAGAGCGCATTGTGTACAGAGTACAATGTGAATGACGCTAGACGTAATGGTCGTAAATACTACAACTTCAATAATTCTTTTCTCGGAAACTATAAGGACTACAAAAATCTTTTTAACAATATTGACTCCATTTTTCATGATGCATTTATTCACAAATTTTTTTGGATAAGTTCACCCTGTACTTCCTAACCTTTCAGAACTAACATGGACTTTCACTATATAGAGGCTAACATCGGTTAATTTTTTTTTTTTTAAGAATTTTATTCATGGTTTTATGCCAACAGGCAAACAGTTATGGCACATTATGATTTAAAATGGGTATTTTTATTATACAGGATATGTTGAAATATGATCCCACAAATGTAGGGGCACCAGAAAATAAAATTATATTTCCTATGAACCTATTTATTGTCATTTGTTTTGAGGTGCAGGGTGTTAGAAATTATTCTTTGAAATCAAAAAACAACATATTGCATTGAAATTTGGTTTTTGAGGCTGCTAAGTAGGTACCTATGTCATGGTTAAGTTTCGATTATCTCATAGATGTCGCTATTTGCAAACTTTCTCAATGATATTTTAGAGTATAACTTCTTTAGAGTTAGGTTTCTTGTATTGTATATTTCACATTAGAATGTAAAATTTTGTTTTACACAAAAGCTACTCTTGTTGAATTGCTGGAATTTTTTGAGAAAAAATGTAATTAACTATGCAATATTCAATAAATTTCCATTCATAAATATAGGGTATCCCCAATCCAAAGTAATCTAAAGATGAAAGAGCTTATTCCTCAGGTTATTCTAAGAAAAAATAAAAGGACATAGGTTCTAAAATGTTCCATTTCTAACATAGAGAGCATTAAAAATTTTAATTTTCAAACTTTCAGTAGCACACTTATCACAAGCTGCTTCTTTTACACCTATGTTTCCAGCATGAGTATACAATATACAATTTGAAAAAGGATGTCAAAACTGTTATTTCCTCATCTATCTTATTTTCAGACTCCGTATCAGTTGCAAACTCATCCAAAAACTTTCCAGAGATTTTTGTTCTTTTTAGAAATTAAAGATTGTGCCTAATCGTAAAAAAATATACTATTAAGTTAAAATGACTGCTTGAATTTGAATATACCAAAAACTACAGAAATTTTAAAATACCTTAAAACATGAAGCTACTAAGCGTCAAAATTTTGTTTGGTAGACAATGGCAATTTTCGGACTACTGGTTCTGTGAAACCGACCACATATTAACTCAATAATTTTTAAAGATAAACATTGATTACTTATTTTGAATTTTGCTTCGTATTATATGTATCCATTGTACTACATTGCATATATTTCATTAGTTGTCATTTGAAAGAAATTAACATTGTAGGAAACTGAAAAATAAGTGTTGATATTTGCTCACGAAAGTGGTGTGATGCACACAGGGTGTTCAAACTGTTAAATCGCTTCCTCTATTGCGCTGGAGTGATAATGAGTGACGAACTAAAAAACGATTTAAGGAATTTCTATTGCGTTCATTACCAATTGCGAATCATTACCTTAACATCTAGCACCAGTGTCGTAAGAAAGTAAATCAGAATATGAGAATAATCCTGTTCATATGCTCTGATTTAAAAAAATATTGCACCAGAAATAAAAGTAATTTCAAAAGAAATTGTGGACTAGTTATCAATAATTTTCATTTCCAATCTGAAGATTTATTTTTCATAAAATAAAAGAACGTAGAAAGAAACCTCTTGTATTTCATTTATACCAACATCAAAGTGCTGATATTATTTTTAGACACTGTACATCTGGAGAAAAATATAAAAATCTAATTTATATGAATATTTAATGCATCCAAACTCAGAAATTCCTTGCATATTCTGTACACACAATGTCATACATTTTCAAATAAAAATGTATGACATTTAAAAAGATAATTAACAATGCCCACATTTCTTTAAAAATGCTCTAGAACTAAAGGAAATATGAAATGAAATTCAGTTTAATCTGTAATTAACAAACATATTGAAAATTTGTTTTCTTGCAAAAACTACAACTCTTATTTTAAAATAGAATTGATTGAAAATGGGATACACTACACAATTTCCATAACCATGGGTTGGTACATGCTAAGAGATCAACCATCATTTGTTATAAATTATTGCGGCACTATCTTTAGAAGTTCAAGTTTCTTCAGTCATCCTGTTTCTGTTAAAAAAATATATACCTTTTAACAACATAAGTTTAAAATAAATAAAAATCTTAGATCCGACACAAAAAAAAAACTGAAGTTGTGAATGGAAATGGTTTTTTTCCAGGAGTATGTACCATAGGAGACGCCGTGAAAACAATACATCGACTAGTTTCCGAAGATCCATATACACAAGGAATCTATGGGTTAGCGCACCTCCTGATGTTACAGGTAGATACAGAGACGTCTCGCCTTCATTTTTCAGGTCAGTATTTTTGCTTTATAGACAGGTTTTTGTAAATTTCATCTTTAAATTTTATAACATGTTCGAATTTTTTGAAATCCAAGCTCATTCCAAATGGAAAAAAGAAGGAAGCTAAATAAAATAAAGCTACTTTATCACTATCTTATTTATTTTATAACCTACGCTATCTTGTTCTGTGTATTTAATGTCACTATTAGTTCCAGTGTCGCAAACTAGAATATCTAAAACATTTTTTTGAAGTTAGACATAATGGTTGTTAACTTACGAAGGAAGAAAACTAATAATTTCCAAGGATTCGATTTACAGATTTTTATGATTTTTTTCACGGATCTATGGATGTGTGTATCCACAAAGTTAACATCGATCATAACATAACAATGCTTAAAACACAACCCCAAATTTCTATTTTGCTAATCTTGTAGATAAATTCACATTAATTCTCATTAAAAATATACGGGGTGCCCTAAGTACGGTCCATAACTTAAGGACACAATTTCTTGAAGAAAAAAAATTCCTATAAACATGTGACCGAAAACGCTTATATTCCGAGATGCAGGATGTTGAAAATTTAAAAAAATATTAGTATTTGTAATAAAGCACCCTGCAACTGTCCTTATGGAAAACTGGTCCTGGTTGAATGGTATGAAACTTTGCCGAATGATAGTCCTCAATGTGTCGATCAAAAAAGTCCATGGTCTGAAAAACTACTGTTCTGAAGCTACAGCCTTCTGAAGTTATCGAATCTACGTTCTCGATGATCATCAAGTTAAGTTTTCTTAAGGTTCTTCAGCTATTTTCTGAAGACTGAGGAATGATGCAGATATGCTGATGACCGATAAGTGTTCAGCATGCGTAAAAACATAAGATGTCGCTCAAGCAGTACGTGTTACTATCGCTGTTCTGCAGTAGGTACTTCACCGATTTTCTGAAGACTGAAGGTTGATTTTGACCATGGATTCGCATTCAGCATAAGAAAATACATCAAGAAACAGCCAGCTTGGTCACTTTATAAAGATATGTATGCTTTTACTCACCCGTGAATCATTGGACTTGATGGTCATCGAGCACGTTGATTTGATAACTTCAGAAGGCTGTAGCTTCAGAACAGTAGTTTTTCAGACATTGGTCCCATGAACTTTTTTGATCAACACATTGAGGACTATCATTCGGCAAAGTTTTGTGCCATTCGACCGGGACTGGTTTTCCATAAGGATAGTTGCGGAGTCCTTTGGAACAGTCATTGTTAGGTTCTTAAAATTTGGCAAAAAATGTAGAACGCCAATGGATTTTTTAAAATTTGTATTATTTTTGGACTCGCTTAACATTTTACAACAAAAACAGTGTCTTGAATTTTTTTTCTAATACCTAATAGGCATCTATTCTTAGAAAAAAAAACTTATTTATTTAATTCAGCGGCAAAAAAAAAGAGATATGCTTTTTTTGGTTGTCTTAGTTACTTGTTTGGTACAGAGATTGTTGGCATTTTGTTAGTTATAAGTGGTCTAGCAAAACTATGGATTAGATAATAAAATTCGAAAATGACGAATTTAAGTGTACACAACAAAATCTCCTTATATAAATTATAAATTTTTGAACAAGATTATTACGTAAATGATAGTCTCTGCAGCGGTTGAGACACAATTTTATAGTTACTAGTGTAATAACAAATAAAGATTTATTAATATTCAGTAATGGAGTATGTACATAATAACATAATTATTGTATTCTGTCTAACAATATGAAGTAAATTAAACACCAGACAACCCATAAACAACCTCTATTTCACTGTGACCTTATATTTTTAAAAACTTAGATAAAATTCATAATTTAAGTGTGAACAGATTAGCTAATCTTAAATTAAGGAAAGGAAGTAAGATTATGTTAGATTACCTAAAATTTGCTGTAATAGGAAGACGGCTAGTATTGATTGAGAAAAAATTAATATTGCTTTTAACATTATCAATGTGAAGCTGTTATTGGAGGTGCTGATTGATTTTCTTCTTTGTTTTTGTTACTTCTTTTTTAACATGAATTTTTTATATATATTTCTATAATAAATTGCGTTGGATCTCAATTAATAATAGCGATAATGATGTAAACAAACAAACACTGTATGTGTGGACAGCTATAAATTTGATTTTATTTTATCTTTGCCATTCAGTTGTCAAATATCTAATGGACATTTTTGGTATAATGTTGATCAGAGAAGCAAATGGAAGACTAGAACTTATTTGTTATAGTAACTCATCTTAGCGTCGGGTATTTTCATGTTCTTCATTTATTAGTTCTTAATTTCATTTTTACTGTTGTTACTTACAGTTACCTTAATTTTTATTTTGGGTGTTACAGGAGTTGTCCAGGCGCAAGAACCAGATTAGTACCATGGTTAAACCGTGAGCTGAATGCCTTACTTTACGAAAATACTCAATTAGTGATGCGTCTCGTTGATATCATTATGGATCACTTACTTAGGCATCATATATGCAGCCGTACATTCCGTAATTTGCTCTACGAGTATCTAGATAATAAAACAGACCATTTTGTCCACGAGTTCTATAACTTCATGAGGTCCCCTTTTGATATGATTGGCTATGATCGACACATTATCTATACCGAGAGACCCCAGTCCCCTGCACCGTACATAGACGTATCTGATAATGATAACGACAGCGACGTTATAATAGTAGGCACAACTAATCCAGAGGAACCAGTCGTGATAGATTTAGTGAATACTGATTCCGATGAACCAATTTTGGTGTCGCAAGAAGAGCCACAATTGCCTTTGCCGATTCCCGCAGAAAGGTACCCCGAGCCAGAATGTAGAACACCAGTTTTGCCCTTGAAGCTTCGTCTTAAACATAAGAGGCAGTCGAGGGAGAAGGAGAAAGAGAAGAAGAGGCAGAGGAGGAGGTTACATCGTCATAGGTCTAGATCGTCCAGTTCTTCGTCTAGTTCCAGTAGTGAAAACGATTATTCCAAAAGTTCTTATGAAAGGTAAGATGCCATTCAAAGAAAATCCATATATGTATTTTAGGTAGAAATGCAGATGTAGTTCAAATGTATATAAATTTTAAATATCTAAACAAAATATATATATATATAGGGTGTTCTAAACAAAAAGTAGGTTAAGCTTTGGAAGAAAATTATTTTGTGTGCGTTATTCTGGTTGTATGATGAATTGTATTGCAAAACTACTCATTTGCTATTGGTGAGACATAACCTACAAGGAGTGTTACGTCTTAAATGTCCCAGCTACTGACAGAGAGCGACCTCAGCTGTTAACTAGATATCGCTAGGTGTCATTCAACTAAAGCCTCATCCAGCTTTAATCTGCAGAGTAGTTGTTTCCCACAATATAATTCGGTAAATACGCACCCAGTAGTTCAAATCAAAGCAAATAGTAATATTAAAAATGTTTGAATATTTTGTATTACCTTAAGTAATAAAAGGAAATGGAAATTTCAAAGCTAACTTGGATATTAGGAGTTATGCAGAAATATAATCCCATTGGTAGCATATTAAGAACATTTTTGTAAAGTTTGTGCGTCACTCAAGATAAATTTTTAAATTAAACGAATGAGAACATCAAATGTCTAAAAAGTGAAAAAAAAATACACAAAAATATGCTTGGCCTACAGAAAAACACAATCTCTTAATTTAATTTTGATGTGTGAGAATAAAAAAAAACATTAGGTGCCAAATCAGGACTGTGCGGCGGATGACTCATCAATTCGACTTTCTCAGTTCTCAAAAAGTTTCTTGTTTGAGCCGATGTGTGAGCCGATGTGTGACAGCTCGCATTGTCCTAGTGCAGACTGATGCGTCTAAGGTGGTTGGTTTCACTTATGTTTCCAAAGACTTCTAGCAAGCAAATGGTTGTATTCAAAATTGACTGTCCCACGTCCAGTTTTTTTGAAAAAATAGGTTACGATATCATACGTTTTTTGAAGCACCACCAATTGTATTTCTTGAGCATTTCTCTCGACGAATAGATATAGCCCCTTTCGAGCGTTAATGTGTGACTGCATCAATGTTTTCTGGAACAACAACCGATTTTGGATGACCTTCATGAAATTCAGTGAGCGAACCACGGCCATGATTGAATTCCGTATACAATCGATATACAGTGGCTTTTGTTGGTGCTTCATTGCTATAAGTCGAATTAAGTACATCGATACACTGTTGTTGAGATAATACATGTCAAAAGTTGTAAAAAATAGTCACATATAAATGTGCACCACTTAATCAAATTTTTTGGCCGAGATGAATTTTTCGAGTTACTAAGCAAAATAAATAGTTCATCAAAATGTTCTGAGAAGTATATTGACAAAAAGTCTAACTTTATAATAGGGGCGTTGATTGCCAGATGGCAGCACCAAGATTGTCCATTCCCGAAATAAAAAAGGCAACCCTCGACGTTCTGAGAAGTATATTGACAAAAAGTCGTATTTTATAATAAGGACGTTGATTGTCAGATAGCAGCTCCGAGATCGTATATTCCCAAAATATAAATGGCAACCCTCATATTTTCATGATTTTGTAAAAATGTATTCTGTATTCTGTTTATTTTAAAACAATTACATCATGTAAAACATAAACTCTCGGGTCTTTCTTTGTTCTCCTTTGCGCTTGATGAAAATTCTCTAAAAATAGATTCAGCTCATTTTACAACATTACACATATACCAAAAACAAAGAGACAATTGAATTCTGCACCCCAAGTTTTTCCGTTCGTGCCGTGTTTTTTTTTATCAAAATTATTCTAAAAATGTTCCAGCATAGCACAAATCTGTTAGATTTCAACTGAATTCAGCTCAAGAATAAAATTGTATCTTGTATCTTGAAAAATAGGTGCCTAAATGAAAAATAAAAATTCCCATTATTTTTGTCCAAAGAATCTTGAATCTATATTTTTGTAAACACCCTGTAAGTAGAAAATAAAATTTTTGAAATATGGGAGACTATTTTTTAGACACTCAATTTTCAGCTATGGGAAATAAATCATGTATTCTTATTCAATGTTTAATTTTTTTCCAACTATTGTTATACAGGGTGTTCTGAAAGTCCATCAGAAAACTCCGGGAGGTGATTCTACGGATTAAAATAATAACAGTATGTAATGAAAATTTTTTTCGAATTGTCAAAGTTGTAGCTTGTCAAAGTCCAATTTTTGTTTATATTTCTATTTAAATAACTTATTTAATTCCAGTTCGATTAGTCTCTCATTTGGCACACTCACTAAGTAGATGAAGATATTGGATCAGTCGGAGAAAAGTTTCATTATGCACTGCCAGAGGGCACTTTACCTATAACTCAAAATATATGTTTTGTACATAGCTTTTTTTTCTCTTGCTAGACATCACAGAAATGTGAACATTATTGAAAAGAGAAACAATATCAGAAAAAATTTGTACTCTTTGTTCAAACTGACAAATGTAACAGTTTACCAGTAAATCGATATTAATAATATGTTATTAAACATCAAATTTTTGACGTAGGTCTAAATATGCTTCGTTTCCAAGATACAGAGTGTTTAAATTTTAATTTTTTATTCATTTTTATTAATTCAAAGAATTTTAAAGATATTAACTCGAAATTTGAAAAACGCTTTGGAGGGATAAATGAGCATTTTTTGGGGGCGATCCAAATATTTCTACTTGCACCAGTAGCGTTTGTGCGAGAACGCCTCTTTTTTTTATTAAAAAAAATGGTACACCGCTGAGTTTTTTCGTTTTGATATTTTTTTAGAAATCTGCCATCAATTCTGAATAAAATTGGTCTCTTCAATTTTTTTCATAGGATGCACAGTTTCTTGAGAAAAAAATAAACGTATTTTATTACAAGTTGTGTATTTTTAATTTCTATTGATACATTATCTAGTAGGTTGCTGTCAATATCTTTAAAACTCTGAAATAATTAAAAAAATAATTAAAAAATTAAAATTTAAACACTATATCTCGGAAATGAAGCATATTTCAATCTAAGTTTATATGAACTTTTTTTCACAAAATAACTTCGGCAACCACCCCCTAAAATATTTAGCACTTATTTACAAATACCCTGTATAAGTTATTTAAATAGAAAAATAAAAAATATGAACCCTGACAAGCTGTAACTTGTAAACAATTGACAATTCGAAAAAATTTTCATATATACTGCTATTATTTAATCCGTAGAATCACCCAGTTTCCTGACGAACTTACAGAACACCCTGTGTATAAGTAGTAAATCTTGACTGATGTTAATTAATATTGTGCAGGTATAAAAGGCGAAAGAAGCACAGAAAATTGTCTAAACGGAAAGCCAGCTCTTCATTGAGCGAAAGTGACTTAAATGTTGAGAATACAAATTCGGAAGGAGATGACAATTTACCACTTTCTGCTTTCATGAGTAAAAAAAGGAATATGAAGAAATTTAAGAAACAGGACCGACCCTATAAAAATTCCAAACATAACACTCATCCTACCGTGTCATATTCTGCCAAAGATTATTCGAGAAAAGAGGCTGACCGCGTGCCACAAGTTGAATTTGAGAACCCAAACTTGCCGAGTTGCTCAAAGTATTCCTCAGATTCCTCTTCCACCCAACAATCGAGAAGATCCAGATCAAGCAAGTCTTCTATCGTAGACAGGAATAAAGAACAAACTGTAGAAAATGGCCACGCCCATGAGGACTCCTCTTGCTCGGCAAATCTACCAACTTGTTCGAAGTATACTTTTTCTCCATATACTTCTTCTCAAGAGGGTTCCAACAGTTCCAATTTAAATATAACAAAATCGGAGGTGGATACAAGTAACGACGAAGACTACCCTTTAACCCATCTTGTTAAAAGCGAGGTGAGAGAAGTGCGGCCAGATGAGAAGAATGAGGGGCCTAGTGTAAGTAGTGGCGGCAGTAACGGACGATTAAGAAATATTTTAATAAAAAAAGAAGAGTCTAGTAATACGTGGTATTCTTATCCCTGTAATTATGACACCGATTCCTCAGAAAATTAATATTAATTATTTTTTGTCTAATATACATTTCTTTTACTTTAAGTTGTACAGTTATTTATCAGAATAATTTTATATATTGTTAAATGATATTTTATAATTCCTTGAAATTCTGTAGTGTCAATAAAAGTAATCATGACTCATTATTTGGTTTTTGTTTTCTATATCCATTATCCAGTGGCGGCTCTAGACTTCCATACCAGGGAGGCGGAAAAATTTAGGTACAAAGTATTTAAAAAAATTAAATATAATTGGGCAGTTTTATTTTAAGCGCTATTGAAATATAGGGAAAATGTGTTCATTATTTTTTATACTTCTTTTATCCGAAATTTTTCAATTACTTTTGTATTAAAGTTTGGTATTTCTCGCACCATTGATTTTTCAATAAATAGCATTACTGATCTTTTAAAAAACACAAGAAGCAATACGTAAGTAAGAAAATTTTACACCACTCCTGAACAAATTATGTTTAATAAGAAAAAAAGCTGTTAATGGTTACTATTTGCTTACGGTTGGACTAAACAGCCCAAACTGCATAGTATGTGCTACTCCCACTTGATTTTTTACTGCTGCGTGACGGTAACCATGACCACTGCTGTAAACACTTTACAAATGCAAGGGTGAGCTACGCGTAGCTCACATATACAGGGTGTCCCGAAATCAATGCAACAAAATTTGGTCACATTCTTAAGACGAATTTAGGGGACCCGTATTTTTTATTTTTGCAAGTGCCCCCTATTTCAGAGTTACAGCCCCCTGAAATCCGCCCCTAAGAATAATCTTTTTCTTAATCTCAGAACCCTGTTGTATGAGAATCACTAATATTGGTACACAGGAGTTTTACGACATGTTTAAGGCTATCGTTTGTCTTATTGTCTTTGGAGCCAAAAAAATTTGGTCGCAAATTAAAATTTAAACATTAGTTCGCTAGAAAGACATTAAATTTAAAAACTTTTTTCGTAAAACGCAATGTTAACACAAAAACATTGCGTTTTACGAAAGAAATATCAAGAGACAAAAAGTTAAATTCAATGACTTTCTAACTAATAATTTTTAAGAAATTTAAATTTGCGACTAAATTTTTTTGGTTCCAAAGACAAGGGGGTCCACGAAAAAGTGTCTTAAGGGGATTCCCTGCCAAAAAGCATAGGGCTATCAGAATCCCCTGTGTACCAAATTTAGCGATTCTCGTAAACAAGGTTCTGAGATATAAAAGATTATTCTTAGGGGCAGATTTCAGGGGCTGTAACTCCGAAAGAGGGGTCTCTTGACAAAAAAAAAATACGGGTCCCCTAAATTTGTCCTAAGAATCTATGACCAAATTTTGTTGCATTAATTTCGGGATACCCTGTACAGGCTGTTACGAATTCGCTTCTAACTACAGGGATCTCGGAAACGGTAAATTTTGAAAATCCATTTTTGTTTCATTTCAGCCTTGTTTGAGGTGCTGTTGAAAAAAAATGAACACTTTCTCTTTCTGCCCTCTATCGAATGGCATAATCAATTTTTATCTGTAACGTAACTTAATTTTTTTAAATACGACCGGAATTTTTATTAAATTTTTTGCAAGCCTTCATGACATCCAATACTGTACTGCCTCAACCCAAACCAGATTCAGACGTTTTGTCTCGAAAAATTCAGCTTCAATGTATTTGTTCCAAATTTATCTATTTTTTTTTGATTTTTGTTTATTGAATTATTGTACACTCTAAGTGTCCTTAGACTCTATGAAATCCACCTAGTTATTTAAACTATTACCATCACACGTTACAATAAAACATTATTAGAGTTTTAATCTCCATCACCTGATCATACATAATTCGATAAGTTGTTGCGTCAAAATTATAACATGATTACAATTTTAATTTCATTATGACAAATTAATTCTTAAAAATGGATATGAACAACCAAAACTCCAAATGAATATTATACTTTAAAAAATTACAATAAATGTTCAAAAATGTTTTCATTTTGGCAAATGTTGAAAATGAAGATCAACATAATATGATCGGAATTTATTATACCTGTAACCGCAACTGTGAAAAAGTATGTCAGATATATGAATATCCTGAAAAAAATTAGATCAAAATTTGTCTGAATTTTTTCGAACTCTAATAATGTTTCATTGTAACGTGTGATGGTAATAGTTTAAATAACTAGGTGGATTTCATAGGGCCTAACGACACTTAGAGTGTACGATAATTCAATAAACATAGAAATTTAAAATAAAAAATTGGAAGAATACATTGAAGATGAATTTTTCGAGACAAAACGTCTGAATCTGGTTCGGGCTGAGTACAGTATTGGGAGTCATGAAGGCTTGCAAAAATGTAATCAAATTTCCAGGGTTTTATTTAAAAAAATGAAGTTGATGATGGTCCTGGAGAGACAAAATGTTGCATATAAAAAATGATTATGCTATTCGATAGAGGGCAAAAAGTTGCCATGAAAAAGTGTTCTTTTTTTTCAATATTACCTCAAGGCTGAAATTAAATAAAAACGGATTTCCAAATTTTCGTTATTTTTTTTCAAATATTGCGAAAACTAATCATGTTAGACTTGATTTTTTAGAAGCATAGTGCTGGTCCCTGATTATGCAACTTTGCCCCCATTTAAGCTACTTCGTATCTCTTACCGTTTCCGTGATCCTTCCAGTGAGAAGCGAATTTGTAACAGCCTGTATAGAGTTTTTCAAAAGAATTTGGCAAGTCGAGTTACATTGACTGCACATTAGAAATTTAATATTTCGTTTTTAATGTGTTAATAAGGCTAATCTATTTAATTAACCAGATAACATTGTAAACTAAATTTTAAATTAAATTTTTTTACTATGAAATTTCCAGGGCGCAACCCCAGAGCCCCCTCGCACCCGCCATTATCAAATTTTTATTTTTGAGAAAAAAATGTTAGTGGCAAATAAATTTGAAACTACATATTTTATCAGTGAGATCACAATATACTAATCGAATTTATTTGAATACTGTGATTCAATTCAACCGTTTCCGCTCATCAATTTCAGTATTTGTTCGGTTTTCAAACTTAAAAAGTCTTATTACCTTAATTACTTTATTAATCGACAAGTCTTGGCTTTGTATTGAAATTATTACATACTGTTGGGCTTCAATTTCGCTGCTGAACAATCTTGATCTCAACTGATAGGGCTGAAGAAGACTACGACCAGTCACACTGTGGCCGTGTTCAGCGAACGATCAAACTTCTTTAGTCAAACAATTCGCTGAACAGCCTTTAGTAACTGTATTAAAACCTGCCCAATATTCCCAATTGCTGAACACACCCTGTATAACCAACTGATCAGCTGACATATTTCTTGTTTTTGAATACAAATCATAAAATAGTTGATTATAAGTCCTGAGCTCACATAAGTTAAACAAATTGTTTACATACACACAGAGTTCACATATACAATTTCTGCAATAAATTTTTTATTAGCTGATACTACATACATAAACCTACATTTTTTAAAGGCATGTTTAATTACATAATACAAACAAATTACAAAGATGTATCATTCAAGGTGGTCCTAAACTGTTTGGACATTTTAGGGCTGATAGTGCGTTAAAAAAAAGGTACCTTTTTTCGACAATAGTGAATAAGGGAAAAAGCTTTTTAAAAGGGTATTATTATTTTGCAAATTTAGATATACTTACAGGATGAAATTCAAATTAACATATGAAAGTTTAATTTCTCAATGTCGTTCATATATGCATTTTGAACAATTTCTATAAAACTAGTACTTCAGTTGTCGTTTAAGAAATTTTAAATTTGCAGATAAATTATTTTAAAATTTTTTGATAGGATTGTAAAATATTTTATATAAGTTTATATGCCGTTAAACTTGGCCTTCGGTCTCATTTCACAATTTCTAAAATTACTTTCTCTCTCAGTTTGATACTACATTGAATGTCAAAAAGCTGATATAACGACTAAAAAAAATAATTCATGCAAATTTTCCACCTTAGAATAAAGGGCGAGCTTATTTTATAGAAACGGTTCGAAATGTATGACATTCCAAAGCACATGCGATCGATATTATGAAATTTTACAAATGCATACGATGTATTCGAATAAACTGGTACAATTTATCAAAATTAAACTTAAGACCATACTCTACCGTGTCTATTAAATTTAATAATATTTGTGTTGTTGCCACTGTTTTACATCGCCTTTCTAAACCTTACTGACAGAGTTTAATAAAAAAAAATAAAGTATTCAAAACAAATATTTATTTGAAACGAAAAATTACAAATATTTCAATTACAAATTATTTTACTTGGTAGGATGAAAGAAATTCAACACAAAAAGAACTTGTCAAGAACGGAGTCATTATGTACTAGTAATACTTTGGCCTTTTGATTTATGTTTCTCACGGCGACTGTAAAATAGAGTATATAATATTAAGATATTCTAACTGAAAAAAAAATGATAAAACCATAAAGTTACCTTCTTCCTAATCACTAACTAAAAGTATTTCGCATTTAAAATGAAAATATACAAGGAATGGTGATACAGTACTGAACTACCAAGTTGAAAGTAAAATTAGTACTGTACCTACTTGTTTCAATTTCAACTCAATAGTTCTTAAAATTACTTTCTACAGATAAATTTAAAAATAAAATATTTACACACTCAACGAAGATCGATTATTGGCCCAAAACTGATGTGCCGAGAAGGCCAAAGTTATAAGGTACAACAGTGCAGCAATCCAGCAATTGTATGCATTCTAAAAAAAAATTTCCAATTTAAAAACTACTTTAGTGCATATGTAAATTACTTATTAGTAGCACTTTTTTAAATTATTTCATTCATTTTATTGGGTACTGCTACCAAGTACACTGAAAAAATTATTAAAAAAACTCCTTGTGTCAATTTGATTAGTGACCTAAATCATTTCTATAAGAGTTTTGAGAATAAAAAGAGGTTTTCAAAACATTAGCAACTTGGTGTTATAGTGAACTTACTCTATCAGTCCGATACTTGTGCTTAAACAAAACTAAATTTATAAAATTAATCCATTTATTGATCGTTTTGGGATGCCCGGTTATTTAAGATGAATTCATCTGTTTTCGTCCAGTTAAATAGAACCATAACATATTATAAAGTGCCATAACAAAGGGCGAACATAAGTGAACTCCTATTTAAAATCTTTTTCTTTTCCAATACTTTGGTTCAGTCAGCAACTTCATCTTTAAACATTTTATTTTATAAGTTAAAAGTACGTGAGCATGGTATCGTTCAGACAGTACTTTTTTCAGTTGCTCTGTATTGTAACCATAGATTTGACAATATACTATGGATGGAATGTAAAGAAAGAGGGTAGGGCCAAAATGTAAAATGAGATGAAACTTGCCTCGTGTCACGTGATTTGAATGGAATTGGAATTTGCAAGCTTAGAAGGCGCAATTTCTCATATCTATTACGTGATATCAAGTGTTATTGTATATACAGATTTGACAGTATTTTTTTTAATTGTTGTGTTACTACCAAAAAAGAATCAATTTCCTAATCATAAATAGTTTCTTTTAAAATCAATGTCACGCAGTTTGTATCATAGGTCACATGCCTTAGGGCAAATCGTTTCCGCTTTTGCTATTCATGTTGCAACGGCTATAAGGCACAGAAAGTCGACTTTGGTTTCATCCATAATATACTGCCAAATCTATGGTTGTAACTTTCAACTCAAAAACTAGTCTTTACCTGATGATAACCTTTATCAACCTCTGCATAAAATGCACTTAAATCACCATGAAATTCCACAGACGGGATATCTTCTGACAGGGCAACTGCACCGATGTAGTAAAAGACCCCCATTAGAGCCTGGAAAGGAAAATTATATATAAAATCTTTCAAGTTAAAAAAAGTTAGATACTTACAAGTTGTATAACACCCCACACACTAATTATTAGGCCACAAAGGGACAATTTTGGACCACACACAGGCATTTTTAAATAAATTTATAAATATAATACAAATTATGTCGCCCCAGTGCTGGGTTATTTTATCATCATATGACCTGAGACCTAAGAGAACATGAATCACGTGATATATCTTGTGACATATGTCAAATCTGACTGCGTTCAGTAGTATAGATCTTACGGAATGGGTTCAGAATTTCCTACAGTAAATTAAACCGGTTACAGGTATGACGTAAAAAGTAAACAAAAACCAACATGTAACTTTACACAATATGCTCATAAAACGTAGGACTTTACGTAAGATGTTGAAAATTTCAGTAAGGATGAATTCTTACGTTTGCCATAAAAATGACAACCAATAAGAATTGTTCTCGCAAGGCAAGGTCTTCTTTTGATTAAATGACCTTGTGCAGATTCACGACATCAAAACCGCGCGCCATTATTCCATGGCTAGAAATTGGCCTCAATGATTTGGGATCGAGGGGGATTATCCCTCTTTATCCTGCCTCATCTCGTGTAGGCCTGGACAGCCTTCGTAGGTGGGCCCCATCCGTCGTCTACCCCGACCGCAAATGCGGCCGGTGTAGGCGCTTTGTGGGACCTCCTTTTGTCCTGGCTGGGCCCCGCCGGCTAGGGCCCTTTCTTCTGGCGCTCTTCTTGCTTCGCCGGCTCGTCTGTGTAAACCCCGGGGGTGGTGTCATGTTCACGGCCTACTGATGAAAATGCTCACCAACCAATATCCCATATCCTTCACCAAACTCATAAAATCCTACCTACACCACCGCGCCATTATTCCATGGCTAGAAATTGGCCTCAATGATTTGGGATCGAGGGGGATTATCCCTCTTTATCCTGCCTCATCTCGTGTAGGCCTGGACAGCCTTCGTAGGTGGGCCCCATCCGTCGTCTACCCCGACCGCAAATGCGGCCGGTGTAGGCGCTTTGTGGGACCTCCTTTTGTCCTGGCTGGGCCCCGCCGGCTAGGGCCCTTTCTTCTGGCGCTCTTCTTGCTTCGCCGGCTCGTCTGTGTAAACCCCGGGGGTTGTGTCATATTTATGTGTGGTATGGTTGGGTAGGGCAGTGCGGCTATTCAGCCTGGGATGTGCTTTGCTATGGTGACCCTTTGGCTAGCGCGGGAGGGGAGTGGTAAGGAGGGTATGGGGGTGTGTATGTGTGTGTGTGTGTGTGTGTCGTTGTCTTCGTTTCTTGATCATGGCTGTCTCTGAAACAGAACAGGTTAGCGGGCAGGGGGGGGGGTGTCGTTGGGGTGGTCACCCAGGGTCAAAAAGTTGGTGTCTAGGTCTTTTGTGTTTGTCGGTCACGTCGGGT